GAGCAGTTTTTTTTCTTTTTTTAACTGAGTGAAATAAAAAAGTACCTACCTCTCAGCACAATAATTTCACTTCTACTGTCACTTTTGGCCATAACCCTTGGTAACAAATACATTGTATGTTAATCTAATTCACACATCCTGAAATAATGATTAATGAAAAAATACTTTTACTACATAAAACACTCTGCTATCTTCTATTTCACTAATTAAAATGCTAACAGGTATTCACTAAACTGATTTTATGATCCATTAGTGAGTAAAGGGTCCTGAATTGTAATTTGAAAAGCATTGTTCTACAGAAAAATGTTAACATTTGTAGAAGAGAATACATGTAAAAGGATGTTTACAGGGACACTGTAACCATAAAGTATATACACATAAAGTAAAAGCAAAACAGATAAACTATGGCGTATTCACACAATGGACTTCTACAAAGCAGTTAAAATGAATGATCCAGAACTACGTGCACTGACATGGATAAATCTCAAAATCAATGCTTGAGCAAAAACAATTTTTAAAAAGTTGCAGAAGGATATATGCATATGCTGTACTACCATTTAAATTAAAAAGATAACACTATAAGCTATATTATTTATATACAGACATGAAGAAGTACTTTTAAAACATGAACAGTAATGATAAATGGAAAAACCAGAACAATGGTTAGAGCAAAGTGGGATGGAACTGGGGAGGAGTATACAAAGGAATTCAACGGTAGCCATAAAGTTTTATTGCTAAAAGCAAAATATAAAGAAAATATGGCAACTTAAGATTCAATAAGGCTGGTGGGTGGTACAAAGGTTTGTTATGTCCTATAGCTTCCTGAATGTTTACACCATTTTATTTTTAAAAAATAACAGTTAAAGAAGGCTAGTTTTTCCAAAAAAATAAATTTCCAAGAGATCCCTAGTAAAAGATGGAAAATACACGATAAAAAATACTTTAAGACAAAATTTTGAAGCATAATTTTTATTTCTTTAAATATTTTATTTATTCGAGAGACAGAGACAGAGAGAACACAAACGAGAGGGACAAGCCGACTCCCTGCAGAGCATGGAGCCAAACTCAAGGGGCTCAATCCCAGGACCCCTGAGATCATGACCTGAGCCAAAACCAAGAGTCAGATGCTGAACCAACTGAGCCACCCAGGCACCCAAGACCTGATTATTTTTTAAATGAAAGTTAAATTTACTTTAAAAACTAGAAAGATTAAAATGCTATTGTTATACTAAATATCTCACAAATATTTATATGTATAAAAATGGTTAAGTGTAGGGTTTTGTGTCTACAGTTTTTAAATGGCAGACAATGATAAAAACTTAGTAATAAAAAACTTAACAAATAAAAAATTCAAGAGAATAGCTCAAAGACAGTCTAGAATTTTTCCCTGGAAGAAGAAAAAAGATAAGAAAAGACAAAAATATAAGAGAGTAAGAGAATCAATTCAAGTAGTCCAAAGCGTGGCTAACGGGAGTTCTAAGAAGGAAAAACAGACGGATGGGACATACAAGAGACCTGTTCAACGGGGACGCACATGACTAACCAGACCGCACACCTTTAGTACCACAAGCACACAATTTAGCTGACTTGAAGGATACTGGTACAAAATGCCTTTAACCTACCAATCCGCAGCAAAGAGAGGAAACAGAGGAAGAGTCGATGACGCTGTAGTCATGCAGTCCACAAAATGCAGGCTGAGGAAAGATACAAGATACTCTGCCTGGTCTTCAGGGGAATAAAATAGGGAGGGAACCTACAGAGACTGAGAGAGGCTTAAGAGATATGTGCACTGGGGCACCTGGGTGGCTCAGTTGGTTAAGCGACTGCCTTCGGCTCAGGTCATGACCCTGGAGTCCCGGGATCGAGTCCCACATCGGGCTCCCTGCTCAGCGGGGAGTCTGCTTCTCCCTCTGACCCTCCTCCCTCTTGTGCTCTCTGTCTCTCATTCTCTCTCTCAAATAAATAAATAAAAATCTTTCAAAAAAAAGAGAAATGTGCACCATTTGCAATGTGTGGACCTTATTTGGATCCTGATAATAACACCACAAAAAAAAGAAAAGTATTACATAACTAGGGAAATCTGAATACTAACTAGGTATTTCACGTTATTACGGAGTTACTGTTAATAATTTTTTTAGGTATAAATGGTATCATAATCTTCCTTCCTATACGAGTCTGTATCTTTCGGAGACACATAATGAAATATTTACAAATGGTACACCTTTGCCTGGAACTGGGGAATCTGCTTCTAATCACACTTAGATGGTTTTTCACAAAAGGCCACAAAACACAGGGACTTTGTTAGTTGGCGAATTCCAGAGCTAATGACCCAAGTAAGAGTAAAAAAGCAAATTTAGAAACCAGTGTATTTTATAACCTAATCCTGAAAGCGACACTCCATTACTTGTACTGTGTTCTACTGGTCATACAGACCAACCCTAGTTGGAAGTAGGAAGAAGATACATAGAGGTGTAAATACCAGGAGACAAGAGACTGTTGGGGGACATAGAAAAGAGCGTGAGTAAGAGACAAGACTATTAGGAATTACTGATGCGAGGTGAGGAACACATGAGGGTTCCGTATACTACTGTCTCTTTTTGTACACATTTGAAATTCCCCACAATCAAAGTTAAACAAACAAAAAACTTTAAAAGATACCTGCACAGAGATGGAGCAAGAAGGTGTAAAAAGGCTACTCAGTGACAGTAGCGACTTGGTGCCAACTCTCTAAGCGGCCCACTCCCCCAGAGACCAAACGGTTGGCAAGAAGGACTGCGTATCAGCAGCTTATGCGAAGTAAGACTTTCAAATCTCAGCAGTCCTCATCAAGCCCGAAATTCAGTGCACAAGCCTGTGTGTCACACCATTTAAACACTGTCCAAAACATAAATGCTTAATGAAATGTGTTAAGAACAGTAATGTACATAGGGGAATACTCTACCTGGAACAATAAGAATCAAGGCTCTTTTGAGCATAGACACCATTAACATTTCAACTGCAGACTTCCCTGAAAAGTGTAGCTTTCTTTAGTAATTCTCCTTTTTTTTCTTCTTTAGTAATTCTTATATTGTTCAGGAGAGTTAACAGCTTGGGAAAACTTAAGATTGTAACGAAACTTCTTTTGACTGATCGCCACTTAGCCAATCTGCTGGATGAACGCACGGATACTCTCCATCCCCCACACAGTTTAATTTTTATAGGCACAATATTAAATGGTGGCCTCTTAGGACTCATTCACACCTGTGCCATGTACTAAACTACTACTGCTTTTGCTTTCTCTGAACAACTTTTTAAAAGTTTTCCCTGGAACTATACCGTTTTCCCTGCTATGGTTTTCTATGCACTTACTAACTGCATCCCAAATTCCCCATCACCTAAATTGTTTCCAGAAGCATTCAGCTGTACATCACCCGTCTTCTTGAAGCCTCTCCTGGTGTGCGTCTCTTGCTTGCTTCCATCTCGGTGGCTGCCTCTTGGCCTAACAACTCTCATCCAGGGCTCTCCCTTCACCATCCTCAAGGGATTCCCACATTTGTTTTATGCCAAATCCCCTGTCCTCCACAGCCTGTGTCCACCCTTTCCTGAGTTTAGGTCCTCATTTGGTGGAGCATAATCTCCAGTAACTTTCCAAGAAAGGGTGTGTGGCAGTTCGATGTTATGAGACTTTGCATTTTCAAAAATGTCCTTTTTTAAACTATGCATTTGATTGCAAATATGGACAGATACAGAATTCTAGGTTGGCAATTCTTTTCCTCTGGAATTCTGCTCCTTCGTTTCCAGGATTGCTGCTGAGTTGCACTAAGTTTTGCCCTTTTCTTTCTTCCTTTTTAAATTCCAAACACTCTTTGGTTCTCCTAGTGTATCTTTGGATAGTATCCTATTCTTGTTTTATGGTTGTAGTATGTTTTATTATTTCACTGGGATAATTCTTTCTAAGTTTTCTTTTCCCTGAAGAGTTTTTGCTTCCTCCAACTTGCGTATTTCTCTTTTGGGGACTATTCATGTTTGAGGGTTTCTTGTGATTGTCTAGTATTCCTTGGTTACGTATTTGTTATAAAAATAGGGAACCAAAAAGCCGAATATTAGCTTGGAATGATGATTACTATGAGTTTTTTTTTTCCCTCCACTCTGTGCCTAGTCCCACTCTGTCAAGAATGATCCTCAATCTCTTGCCTGGAGAAACACGGCCTGGCTGTTGGCATTAATGGGAGCCACAGAGGGCAAGGTGGCTAGGGTCTCAGGAGCCCAATATGTATGTTCACTTGCTCCATGTGTTTTTTTGTATAGTTCCTTTGCTTTTAATGGGGCCTGCTGTCTTCTACCCCAGATACCTTATGTTACTTTCTTCATATGGAGCAACTGGGCCTCTTACATTGGTGGTGGGAGTGTAAATTGGTATAATGATCCTGGGAAAATGTTTGGCAGCACATACTAATGCTATATAGATGTATAACTTATTCCTTTCCCCTACACATACCAAATAGAAACAAGAGCCTAAGTCCTCCAAAAGACATGCACAAGAATGTCACAACTGCTTTATTCGTAACAGTCAAAAGGTGGAAACAACCCCAAGGTCTATCAATGTGTAAATAAATTACGGAATATTCATTCACATAACACATTTATCTTGATGTGGATGATCAGGTATATACGTATATGTAAAAATTCAGTAATCTGTATGCCTATGACTGTATACATTACGGTTTTAAGTTACATACATCTTAAAAGAATCTTTTTTAAAAAGCTGATTATAGGAATGTTTTGAGAAATTTAATATCCTCTACTAATCTATTAAGATAAATCATTATTTTCCAAAGCCTAAAATTTATAGCCTAATGATCAGTAGTATTTTTACCAGTATTTATTTAAGTGGGTAAGTAGTAACATAGTGATACAACATTCACTTAAAGAACAGTCAACACTAAAGTGTAATTTATTGGGAATTCAGAACACACTTTTCATTCAAATTCAATGCTGTCAGGATCACACTAGGTACTTACCCTTCTAACCTGACATCTGGTAAAGATCTGTTGAGTGCGATCATCTCACTCGCCATTAAATTGAACTGATTGATTTTAAACATCTCTTTCATCTTTTCTTGATCCTCTTTAGGAATGACGACTGGTTTCCCCATCTCTCCAGGACCTTCATGATGCTTTTGTACTGGCTCTAGAACTAAGAATATGGAAGAAGCTTAACATCAGTAGCAATCGATAAATGTTTCTGTTTAATAACATGAGTTTAAATTGGACCCTCAACAACCAAAGCCATTTCTGAGCCCATCCTCTCCCAGTCTGTAAAACCTAGGGGCTGCCCTAGGACCAGTGTCCTCACTCAACACCTCCTCACCCTGCACTATTCACCTGCATCATGCACAGCCTTGGCATTCCCATCTCAAAAATCGTTACCACATTAACCTCACTAAAGCACGACCTTCATTGTGGTATTCCTATGATCTCCTAAAGTCTAACTCTTTAATATGGAATTTAACCTAACTTTCCAAACCTACCACCTGGCTCGGCCCTCTACCATGCCACTCTCCACCCCCACTTCAGTACTTAATCCTTCAGTCAAATAGCAACTCACTACTTTCCTTCCAATGTGCCTCATGTTTTCCTGCTTTGGTGCCTTTGCTCACAGAAGGCCCCTCCCACAGCACCTCCCCAGTCTTATTTCTGTAATACCAACCATCTACTTGTCTTTTAAGGCCCGGCTAAAACAGCTTCTCTTGTCTGCAGCTTTTCCAAATCTCTCTACAGTGATCATCTACTACTCTTGACTGCCACATCATTTCATCAAGGGCTCTTAGGTCTCTAATCAATTGCTCCCTCCTATAATGATTGCCAACCTGTCTTATGGGCCCTCCACTAGATCACATCTCTTTTTAGCTCAGGTTTGATTCATTCGTGTACCTTTTATGGAATTCAGCATAATGTCCTATAGGAGTTTTACAACTATATGCTGAATTAATATGTGAGCAAAAGTGCTATTCAAAATAAGTCAAAATGAAATCCTAGAATCAATAATAGGCATTATAATAAGCATTAAGCAAGGTGAAGCATCATCAAATATAATTCTAATCATAAGTAATGTTATCTCTTGATATATACATAAAAAGAGTAATATTCAGGGGCACCTGGGTGGCTCAATAAGTTAAGCATCTGCCTTCAGCTCAGGTCATGATCTCAGGGTCCTGGGATCAAGCCCCACGTTGGGCTCCCTATTCAGCGGGGAGTCTGCTTCTCCCACTCCCTTTGCCCCTGCCCCACTCATGCACGTGAGCACTCTCTCTCTCTCTCAGATAAATAAAATCTTTTAAAAATTTTAAATTAAATTTAAAAAGAGTAATATTCAGCAATTTCCTAATACTGTTTCTTGTTTTACACTTTAGAGATGTTCAAAAGTGTTCCAAGAAAAACAAGTTCTCAGATATATTAAACTTGGAAAAAAGTATATTAAACTTCTCATCTAAAAGGCATGGGGAAAGAATGAGGTAAGGTCAAGAATGGGATAAAAATACTTGTTTTGTACATTACTTGTTTATTTTTAAAGCTGAAATTTTTATTCTCCCGTTGTTCATTTTTTTAGGCACCTCCAAAAAGTCTCTACACAAAAATAGACATCAAGGCAGTAGACAAACCATCTCTCTTCAGTCAGGTTTCATCTGCCCAAGAATAGCACTAGCTCGTAAAGCTGACCTGTAAGATGGTTGTTTCAGATGGCGGTACAAAGCAACCTACAAACACCAGGGCTGTAGAATATGAAATTATTGTGTCTTCAACAACTCTGTCTAGAATATAAAAACCCATCTTAGACAACCATCAAGAAAAAAATGGTATAAAATAATTTTGCCCCTGTTCTCAGAATGAACTGTGATTTTAGGAGGGCATTAAAACATTAGGAAATAACTTTAAAATTATAGAAAACTCATGTAAAACCATTTTAAAAAACAAACCCTGCCTAATGTTTGTCAAAAAACTAAGCTCTTTTTGTTTTTTTAATGAAATTTTTTTTTTTTAAGATTTTATTTGACAGAGAGAGCACAAGCAAAGGGAGAGAGAGGGAGAAGCAGGCTCCCTGCTGAGCAAGGAGACCGATGTGGGACTCGATCTCAGAACCCTGGGATCATGACCCGGGCCGAAGGCAGCCGTTTAACTGACTGAGCCACCCAGGCGTCCCTCTTTATTTTTTTTAATCATTTTTTTAAAAGATTTTATTTTTTATTTATTTGTTTGTTTGTTTGCCAGAGAGAGACACAACGAGAGCAGGAACACAAGCAGGGGGAGTGGGAGAGGGAGAAGCAGGCTTCCCGCGGAGCAGGGAGCCCGATGTAGAGCTCGATCTCAGGACCCCGGGATCATGACCTGAGCCAAAGGCAGACGCTTAACGACTGCGTCACCCAGGCGCCCCTTATCATGTGTTTTTGAGAGAGCGTGCGTGTGCGCAAGTGGGTGGTGGATGGGGGGGTAGAGGGAGAGAGAATCCTAAGTAGGCTCGACGCCCAACCCGGACTCGAGGTGGGGCTCGATCCCATGACCCTGAGATTATGATCTGAGTCGAAATCAAGAATCGGATGCTTAACCGACCGAGCCACCCAGGCGCCCCAGAGAGAGAGAATCTTAAGCAAGCTCCACACTCAGCACGGAGCCTGATGCGGGGCTCAATCTCATAATCTTGTGATCATGACCTGAGCCAAAATCAAGAGTCTGGCACTTAAGTAACTGAGGCACCAAGGCGCCCCAAAGCTCTTTAAATATTAGGGTTGATAGATTTCAAAAAATGTCAGTGACAAGTGTAATAAAACCTATAATACAAGTACAGATGTATAACCCCCATATACAATTTTAAATATTTAAAAATCATAAATTATAAAACTCTTAGAATCAATTCTACTTAGCTGTCTCGGAAAAAAAAAAAAAAAGAGCAACCAACAGATTTGGGAACTGGGATGTTCAGGGGTCAGCAGAAAGCAGCAGAGTCCTGGAGGTGGCAATTATCCTGTGTGCATGGCAGAGTTAACACAAAGAGCAGGTAGGAGATAGCTAGTGGCCCTGATTATAAATATCTTTCAGTTACCTGAGCCCTATTTTAGTATAAGACAATGCTTTAAAGAAAAGTTAAAATGGGGAAAAAAAACTTTTCATGCTGTTTAGTTTTTAAATTAATATTAAGTTATACAGAACACCATCTATAACATATTTTGCTGGGGTGAGGTGGTAGGGGCAGGGGGAAGATCCTGAACTTGATCAAGCCTCCAGACCTACCTACTAATTCACAGAAAATATAGGGCACTGAAGGACATGACAAAAAGTGTTAAAGGGATGCAAATACTGACCGCGGGAAACTGGGAAAAAGAAACAACCAATTTCTTCATCAACAACAACAAAAAGATTAAAAGGGAGGACAGAGAAAAAGAGGTATCCATGTACCCATGTATCCATGCCACAAGACTAGTCTTGAATTGACAACTGCTGAAGCCAGATGGTGGGTACATGGGAGTTTTACTTTCTCTACTTTGGTTTATGTTTGACATTTTCCATGGGGGTTGGGGGAGCATGAAGGAGGACTCCAGAAATTATTACTGTGAGGACTAGTAAGTATAAACTTGATTGCTTACAGAATAAGAGACTATATGGCCAGAATGTTAAAATCTTGCCCTTTCATTATGAAGTAAAACTCTAGCTTTAAGATCTTAAAGAAACATGGGGCGCCTGGGTGGCTCAGTCGTTAAGCGTATCTGCCTTCGGCTCAGGTCATGATCCCGGGATCCTGGGAACGAGCCCTGCATCCTCCGCATCGGGCTCCCTGCTCCGCCTGCTTCTCCCTCTCTCACTCCCCCTGCTTGTATTCCCTCTCTCGCTGGGTCTCTCTCTCTCTCTCTCTGTGTCAAATAAATAAATAAATAAAATCTTAAAAAAAAAAAGATCTTGAAGCAGACAAAACTGTACAACATATACAATCCTGATGTTGCAACATTTTACTGGTTCGACCACTTGGTACTTACTAATAATCTGAATATCTAGTATAATGCCCACATTATATCATTTAACCTACTGGTTCACGAGATTTCCAAGCTACAGTGGAAATTACCAAGAATTATATGACTATTACATGACTTACAGAATCCACCACAATACTCTAATTTAGAGATTATAATATCCTAAAGAATTAAATGGACTAGTCAATTAGGTTTCTTTGGCAAAGAACTCAGGATAAAACTGATGTGGATAATGAATAGATTTTCACTACTAATGTGCTTGCAGATTAATCTAATGGTTAAGCATTAACTTCCCATGCATTCTACTTACCAGTCTTTTATGTAAATTAAAAGTGAGTTCAGTGAAATTTTTGTTTGAGAACAACCAAAATGGGCTTTGGATATCATTTCCTGAACTGAAAGAAAATTTTTCTTGGCATAAAATTTTACATGCAGTTCATTTCTAACAATCAAATCAACTTTGACAAGGGAGAGACCAAAATGTTAATCCAAAGTATTATGTGAGAACAAATGGTTTTTATATTTCAGGTAAATGCCATTTATAAGACAATAAAGTATCATATTTTAAAAACTTAATTACCAAGAAAACTACAGATTCACTCAAAATGCCACCAAATCATATCAATATACACAAACCACATGATATACCTTTGAACGTACTTTAATAAATCTTAGAAATTTTTAATTTGTGTTTTTCTCATGTAAGTAGAATAAAGAAGTATAAAGTTATAATACCCTTTGGGGGAAAAATACTAATAAAAGGCTAAAATCATTTCTCCCAAATGATTTTATCTTATTACACAATTATCACCTTTACGGTTTTTAGGCATTATATTTTACCTATCCCAAAATATTTTTTCCACATTTTAACAATCTCGGAAAATAGGATGTGGCTTACAATGATAACTGGAATGTTTCTGCTTTCTTAGTAGATATAAAATATTAAGTATTCTATAAACAAAAGTATGTAAGATGATGTCAAAATACAACAAATTACCTGATTTTTTAACATCAAGATTATAGGGGTGCCTGGGTGGCTCAGTGGATTAAGCGTCCGACTGATTTCAACTTAGGTCATGATCTCAGGGTTATGAGATCGAGCTTGGAATCAGGCTCCGCGCTGAGCGTGGAGCCTGCTTAAGATTCTCTCTCTCCCTCTGCCCCTCCCACTCCCCGC